CACTCGTTCGATGTAGATGACGTATTTCTTCCTGGACACTTGGACCACTTTGCCAATCTGCTGGCCTTTGTAGTGTCCTCGGACAACCTGAACTTCATCGTCCTTTCGAATGGGCATAGACCGAACATTGTACTTCTGCCTCAGCTCTTTGGAAAGGGGGGAAGACATGATCTTCCTCCGAATGTGAGAAGGTACATTGAAATGCTGTTTGCGGTTCTTGCTTCGGTCCGAAGTCACAAAGGGATTGAACTTCATTTTGGCGGCTACGACGCAGCGATGGCCGCAGGAGGAAAAAGCCACTTTATACATCTTTAGTGAGTTTCTTTTCTGAATTTATTAACAAGGAAAACTATAATTATTTTATCTTCAACTCCCTCAGAGACCCAAGAACGAAATAATATTATCTAAGTAAGCAGGAAGGGCTAACAAGTAACTTCCAAAAAATGTGAGAAATTACAGAACAGCTGGCTACCTGGACAGTCACCCAAGATTTCTCAGCAACATTGGAGCATCCATCTTTGGCCTATAGGACTAGCATATCTGATAGACTTATCTGTGAAGCAGGATTTTTTGTTTTGTTTTGTTTTTTGAGACAGGGTTTCTATGCATAGTTTTGGTGCCTTTTCTGGATCTTGTTCTGTAGACCAGGCTGGACTCAAACTCACATAGATCTGCCTGGCTCTGCCTCCTGAGTGCCGAGATTAAAGGCATGTGTCACTGCCACCTGGCAAAGCAGGATTTTCTAAAAGGGCCTTCCTACCTTGTCTTGGCAAGGTATGGCAGTCCTTTCTTTTGTGTCCTGCCTATCCATCTTAGACAGCATATTGTCAGCAGTCAAAGCAATGGCATTTTCTTGCCCAGTGGCTAACTTGCCACAAAGAAAATAAACCCCATAAGGAATTTCTTCAATGCCCATCATCTTTTCTGAAGTAGATTGGTGCTGACAGCAGTAGACATGTCTCATTGTCATAAAAAAGAATCTATGTTATTAAAACATCTTAAATGGCATATTCTGTAGATCTCTTAAGGGTTTGAAGATGATCTGTTTAGCTAGAATATATTTCTGTTTAACCTTGAAAAATTACCTAATATGACTACAAGTTCAGTTGTAGTGCGTGACTAAATACTTACTTGCATTTCTTTTTATCCTAATTAGCTGGTAATAATAACTTTCAAGGACTAGCAATTTGCACTACAATGTTAAATGAGCTGTATAGGTGCAATCCTTAAACAAGATTAGAAATATATGTATTTTCAACAAAATCAATCTCAAATTTGTATCAGTATATCCTGACATTAATCCAAATACCTATGAACACCTGATTTTGACAAGCCAAAATTATACAGTGGAAAAAAGAAAGCATCATCAACAAATGGTGCTGGCATAACTGGATGTCAACATGTAGAGGAATGCAGATAGATCCATACTTGTCACTATGCACAAAACTCAAGCCAAGTGGATCAAAGACCTCAACATAAATCCAGTTACACTGAACCTGATAGAACTGGTAGTGGGAAGTAGACTTGAATGCATTGGCATGGGAGACCACTTCCTAAATATAACATCAGTAGCACAGAAACTGAGAGCAATAATTAATAAATGGGACCTCCTGAAGCTGAGAAGCTTCTATGAGGCAAAGGACATGGTTATATAAGACAAAATTGCAGCTGACAGAATGGGAAAAGATCTTTACCAACACCACATTTGACAGAGGGCTGATCTCTAAAATATATAAAGAATTCAAGAAACTAGACTTCAAAATACCAAATATTCCAATTTAAAAATAGGGTACAGATCTAAACAGAGATTTCTCAACAGAAGATTCTCAAGTGGCTGAAAGACATTTAAGGAATTGTTCAACATGCTTAGCCATTATGGAAGTCAAAATCAAAACAACTATGAGATACCATCTTACACTTGTCAGAATGGTTAAGATCAAAACCACTGATGACAGCTTATGTTGGAGAGGATGTGATATAAGGGGAACACTTTTCTACTGCTGGTGGGAGTGTAAACTTGTACAGCCACTTTGGAAACCGTATGGCAGTGTCTCAGAAAATTGGGAATAAATCTACCTCAAGACCCAACAACACCACTCTTGGGCATATACCCAAAGGATTTTCCATCATACCACAAGGACACATGCTCAACCCTGTTCATAGTAGCATTATTCATACTAGTCAGAACCTGGAAACAACCTAAATGTCCCTCAACCTAAGGATAGATTAAGAAAATGAGGTATATTTTCATAATGGAGTATTATTCAGCACTAAAAAAACCAAACCAAACAAACAAACAAACAAAACAAAAACAAACAAAAACAAAAACAAAAAAAAAATGGCATCATGAAATTTGCAGGCAAATGAATGAAACTGGAAAAAAAACCATCCCTAGTGAGGTAACCCAGACCCAGGAAGACAAACATGGTATGTTGTTGGCAGCAGACACTGAATAGGCCTTGTGCATAGCCTGTTTGCTTGCCCCAAGTTGCCCTAAGGTTCCCTTTTGTCCTTCCTCTTTTCCTGTGGTCAGTGAGTCACAGGATGTTTACGATGTAGCTATTGCTAGAACATTGTTTCAAGAATCGGCTCTCTCCTGTTTGGCTGAACTGCTGGGATGCAGATGGGAACCTGAGTACTGTACCCTGACCCCATGGAGAGTAGGAAATAACAGGGTATATAAGGCTGATGGATAGTCAATAAAGGGCTCTCTTTGAATGACGAACCACGGTGTGTCCTGAGTGCTGCTTAACCTCGACGTCCCTCGCCAGTTCTGGGTCCCAGGCCGTGTGGGTCACAGCAGGTGGAGGTCTCACCGAGACTTGGAAAGAAGGGGTAAGCATAAGAGGCTCACCTTCACAAAGGAAGGGGGAGGATTGGATGTAACAGAGTAAAATAGGGTACGTACCATGGGGAATTCCACAGCTAAGGCTCAGTTGGCCACTGAGTTGAGAGAGCTGTTGCAGAAACAAGGAAGGTATTAAGTCTAGTACCATACTCACATTTGTGGACACTATAGCTGAAGCTAGCCCATGGTTTCTGACAGGAGGAGGGTTGAATATCCCTGATTGGGAACAGGTGAAACGTGATCCACAGAAGGCATTGCAGGATACGGGACCAGAGGAGTTTCCTATTGCAGCCTTTTCTCTTTGGAGGCTGGTAAAGGATGCTTTATTAACTGACAAGGTGAACGTGAAAGAACAATTAGCAGAATGTGAGCAGGCTTTTGCCACTGCCCAGGAAGCTGAAACTAACGAATCTTTAAAAGGGGAAAAAGAGGAAGAGAAGGCTGTGAAACCCTGCAAGAAACTTGCAGTTCAGGATGATGAGAATGACCTTGAGTCTATATATGAGTTGTTGGATGAGGAGGAGTGGCTAGAGAAAGAGATAGAAGAATTACAACGGCAGCTGCAGAAAACAAAAGTAAAACATAAAGAGCCTTCGGCTCCGATCTGCTGTCATCCACCGCCTCACAATCCATACTGGTTGGATAGGGACAATCAGGCTGATAAGGAAGAAGGGAAATGGAGGGAGTTATCTGGCAGGATACTGTGCAGGCTTATCCCATTTCCGAAACTGTTAATGCTGCCAGACAAGCCGTCAGGAATCATGTACCTTTGACATTTAAAGAAATGAAACAATTAAAAGAAGCAGTGAGCAGTTGTGGTCCGCAGGCTCCATTCACTGAGACACTTTTTGAGTCCTTTTCAGCTAGTTATTTAACACCTAGCGACTGGCAGCAATTATGCTGTGCTGCCCTGTCTGGAGGAGATTATCTCTTGTGGAAAAGTGAGAATCACAAAAGATGCTTAGAGCTAGCACGCTTTAATGTGCGGGCCGGCCAACTCCAGAGGAATTATGACATGCTGGCAGTTGCAGGGCAATATGCTGATATTCAACAGCAAATATTGTATGACCCTGGCACTTATGCTCAAATAGCTAATGCAGTGGTCCAAGCCTGGAAATCTCTGCCAAACCTTGCTGTGGGAGAACAAATTTCAAAGGTCTTGCAAGGTCCTTCAGAACCCTATGCAGATTTTGTGTCACGGCTTTTGCAATTGGCAGGAAAGATCTTTGGAGATTCTGGTCAGGCTATGCTGGTAGTTAAACAGTTGGTATATGAGAATGCAAATAAGTATTGCAAAGAAGCATTAAGAGGGAGCAAAGGCAAGAGTTTGAATGACATGCTTCGTGTCTGCAAAGACATTGATGGTAATCATATTACTGGACAAGTTTTAGCTGCTGCCATAAGACATGCTTGCCATAAGACATGAATGGCCGAGGTGCTCGACCTAAAGGATGTTTCCAGTGTGGGCAGGAAGGCCATTTGAAACACGATTGCCCACAAAACAATCCAAACTAGTCACCTGGAATATGTCACAAATGTAAAAAGGGCCGGCACTGGAGTAGTGAATGTAGATCTAAGTTTGACGCACAGGGTAACCCACTACCTTCGGGAAATGGGGGACGGGCCCCGAAAGCCAGAGTGTACAGAGCTATGCAGACCCAAACAGTAATCCCAGGCAGTGGTCGCCTCTGTTTCATTCCACAAAACAACCCCTTTCAATTGACCAACTCAGTGGAGGAACACCAGGAAGTGCAGGACTGGACCTCAGTTCTGCTGCCAGAGCAATCTTAACCCCTTAAATGGGACCTCAAGCACTACCCACTGGAGTTTATGGCCCCTTACCAAAAGGATCTGTGGGACTGCTTTTGGGTAGAAGTAGTGTGTATATGAAGGGCATAAGGCTTTTGCCTGGAGTGATAGATAATGACTATGAGGGAGAGATAAAAATCATGGCAGAGGCAACACAGGGGGTCTCAGTGATCCCACAAGGGGAGCGTATAGCTCAGCTACTTCTGCTTCCTATTGTTTCTACAAAAACTAGAAGTTTATGTGTAGCCCAGGGGAAAGGGAGGTTTCAGGTCCTCTGGTACTCCTCAAGCGTTCTGGGTAGCCCACCTAGACTCTAGGCCTAAATTAGAATTAAAAATTCAAGGTAAATCTTTTGTGGGGATTCTTGATACTGGGGCAGATGTATCCGTTATATCCAAAGAATACTGGCCTGCACGATGGCCTCTGGAGGATTCTACAGCAGTGTTACAGGGCATAGGACAGCCCAGACCACAGAAAAGTGCCTGCATATTGAAGTGGAGTGCTCAGAGGGGCATGAAGGACATTTTCAACCTTATGTTGTATTAGGTTTACCTACTAACCTGTGGGGAAGAGATGTGTTAGAAACCATGGGAGTGGTTCTCACTACTCAAGCTCTAAAGGGAGAAAATCTGTTC